TTAGGGCAGCTTAGGCGACTTACTAAGCTAACATTGTCAAATTACTTTTTTATTTATTTATGTATATTTGGAAAATATTAAAAATTATATAAACTTATTTCAATAAAAAAAGGAATATAATTTACTTACAAGACGCGTGAGAAATGAATGGTTCTCTTCAAGAAATATCACTGATTTCTGTCCCTCGAACAGCCAGTATAAACAAAACTTTATATAATACTTTCAAATAACGTCTAATGGATAATGAAAGCCAATTAAATGGCTCCAGCAGTGTAACTTTATATTAGCGTAATAACTGTAGTTGATGCAACAAAAAACTCATTATTATGTAAATAAAAGTAAATTATTCAGTTAATAATAAAATCGTGCAGTAAGTGATAAGTCTTTTGATCTTAATTTAAAATAATAAAAGTAAAAGCAATAACAAGAAGTTACTGAACATACCTAGTGTTGTATATATTCATAAGTTACCTGACGTTTAGAACACACCTATTCCTCACACAAATGGTCAATAACTAGAAGTTATTGAACATACCTAGTGTTGTATATTTTCATAAGTAAAGTGACGTTAAGGACACATCTATTCATCATACATAACAAGAAGTTACTGAACATACTTCGAGTTGTGTCTATTTATAGGTAATCTGACGTTAAGGACACATCTATTCATCATACATAACAAGAAGTTACTGAACATACTTCGAGTTGTGTTAAGAACACACCTACCCCTAAGCAAAGGAAAAGACGAATCACTACATGTTTCAGATGCAAAATTCTATTATTTAATAATACATATGCAATGTTTTTATACCTAGGAATTAAGATTCTCTTTCATTTGAAAATTATAAAAATATATCTACAAGTAGTATATAATGTATTAAATGTAAACCACTGTAAGATATTAAAAATATATCTACAAGTAGTATATAATGTATTAAATGTAAACCACTGTAAGATATTAAAAATATATCTACAAGTAGTAAACAAATGTATTTCATTAACATCACTGTAAAATATTAAAGATATATCTACAACTAATATCCAAATGTATTTAATTAACACCACTGTAAAATGTAAAAAAATATATCTACATGTAATAAACAAATGTATTTAGGGGACACCACTGTAAGATATTAAAAAATATATGTACAAGTTATACACAAATGTATTTAATTAACACCACTGTAAGATATTAAAAAATATATGTACAAGTTATACACAAATGTATTTAATTAATACCACTGTAATATATTTAAAATATATCTACAAGTAATATACAATTGTATTTAATTATAACCAGTGTAAGATATTTAAAATATACCTACAAGTAATATACAATTGTATTTAATTATAACCACTGTAAGATATTTAAAATATATCTACAAGTAATATACAATTGTATTTAATTTATACCACTGTAAGATATTTAAAATATATCTACAAGTAATATACACTTGTATTTAATTATAACCACTGTAAGATATTTTGTGTTTTATTGTAGTTATTCTATTTTTCTAAAAGCATATTTTGTAAATAATTTAAAATTGTAATTCTCTCTAATGTTTACTATTTGTTCATTCGATTGCACATTCACTACACTAATGGATGTTGTCAACGATTCACTGAGTTTCGCTCCCGAGTGGCACAGCGGTATGTCTGCGGACTTACAACGCTAGAAACCTGGTTTCGATACCCGTGGGGGCAAAGCACAGATAGCCCATTGTGTAGCTTTGTGCATAATTACAAACAAACACTAAGTTTCTTCTCTTATTTAGTAACAAAACATACAATTTCAAACAATTCATCCCAGAAACACTAAAGACTCAACTTTCTGGTTAACTGTAAAGTTTTCCGTAAGTCTTTAAAACGAAAGGTAAAACGTTGAACAGTATCGTGTAATACAGTAAATATGTACGTAACATAATATTACAACTTACGACTATATTAGAGTTATCATTTCATTCAGAGAGAGAAATCCTTAACAGAACATGTCTTTGTAATATGAAACGAAACTGATAATTATTGCAGTTTTCCTCAAACTCCGTACTTTTCTTGGGTTATAAAGTTTACTCCTTAATCCTGAAATTTTCTATTTTACCGCTAGTTGTTTCTAGGCCTAATTTTATATATGACTGTTTGATTAAGTGCTTAACAAATCCTTTATGATGTAATACATCATGGTCATAAAACCAAGTAAACGAATGTATATTTATAGTCAGATAATTTCAACATGCGCAAGGAAAGGGAAAGAATCAATCAGAATTTATCGAATGAACAAAGTAAGCTGTAACACAAGTTGTGTAAGATGTAACATAACTTGTTTATTTTTTAGTAAAAACATCTTCTATTTATTACTTTTTATCTATTATATATGTCATAAAATATTTACTATTATTATTGTTAAAGATTTCGTTTTGTTTTTTTCTGAAATATAAATCAGTATTATATTTATTAACTGTTTCCTGTATTTTAGCCTAATTACGGGACTAACCTTAACATTAAATGGACTTGTGGAGGAACAACTTTAACGGAGGTAAGACATTGTTAAAAATCAACATTTAACAAAAGTGGTTAGTAATTTGAAACATGTTTCTGTTTTAGTGAATCCCCTAAAAAACAGAGGGCATAATTATCATAAATAGTAATAATTATTGACCTTAAGGTTAAATATAATGTAGTTCATGGTCTAATGTAATTGTTTATGTACTGGGAGAGTGGTTACTTTATATGATTGTTTATGTACTGGGAGAGTGGTTACTTTATACGATTGTTTATGTACTGGGAGAGTGGTTACTTTATATGATTGTTTATGTACTGGGAGAGTGGTTACTTTATATGCTTGTTT